GTAATTATGTCTTTTGTCTCGTGAGATGAGCTAGTCAAGATGTCCACCCGAAAATGATGACAGACACAATAATAAAGAACAAGATGGGGTGTTAACGAAACAGCGTCTAATTAAGCCATGCCATCAGGGCGAGCCACGTCTTGGGAGATCCAGTTCAGCAACTTCTGAATCACACCAAGACACGAAATCCAGGAGTGCAAGAGTTTCCTCAGATAATTTTCTCTGTGCACAAAGGTTCACAGAATCGCAGCGTGGTGGGGGTGGAAAGGGACCTCTGGAAATCACCCGGTCCATCCCCTGCTGGAGCAGGATCACCCAAAGATCACCCAGGAACACGTCCACACTTGGAATGTCTCCAAAGGAGACTCCACAACCTCTCTGGGCAGCCTGATGCAGGGCTCTGGTACCCTCCCAGTAAAGAAGTTCAAAGCAGTGGACAGAGTAAAATCAAAGAGCATCCATGCAGACGTGAGGTGAGGATCACGGCGAACATCTCACACCCTGAGCTGAGGTTGTCTGCAGTGGTTTTTGCTTCTAATCAGACTGATCCTTTTATTTTGAGTGAAGCACTACAGCTTCAGGACCTTTAGAGATACTGAGCCTCTCATCTCAATGATAGAGATCAAGCAGATGGCTACAAACCTCCCTTCTGAGCTGCCAGCTTAACTGCTGCTACCTCCCAGGGCATCTTAAGCTTTTGGAGACTTCATTACCTGATCAACATTTGTAAGGCCACTGATAACAGCACCTCCCCAAGCTGTCTGAAAGCTGAAGCAGCATTTTCTGTCTAGGAAGCAGGGCTCAGGCCAGTATTTTTCCCACTTGTGGTGTTACATTTGCTGAAATTAGTGGTACAGCGTCAGTATGGGCTGGGAACTGAGCCGGGCTCCACCGGGTGAGAGCTGAGGAGCTGCTCAGCTCCACGTTCGCTGTAAAACCACCTTGCTTGATGCACGTCTCTCCTGCAGTGCCCCAAAGGTTTGAGTAAGGCAGGTTTCACTGCACTGGCCTCTAAAAATAGTCTTTGTGCAATTCACATGGAAGGGGAGAGCAATTACAGCTCTACTATGGGAAAAACATTCACTCCCTTTCCACGGACTGCCTTCAGAACCCCTTCGGTGATAATTACCATCATTTTTCTGCTGAGGTTGCTGACATGGAGGTGAAGTGACCTCCCCGAGCCGCTCCAGACCTGGATCCCAACCAGTGTTTAAGGTCAGGACGGCCCCACCTTCAGATCTCCAGACAGGCTTCAGGTCGTCTCCCTTCCAGCTATGGAAAGTGATTTTCTGTCATCACTTGATGTTGCAAGCTGGGGTTGGAAATTTGACATGCAAGCTGGCTACATATTCCAGAAACCTCACTGCTTGCTTAAATCAAAGCTGTGTCTCAACGCAGAGCCGTGGCTGTCCAACCTCAGCAGCTCAACATCGCTTTGCCCCAAAACCACGCCACAAGTGCTACGTGCCCTGTTTCTCCCAGTGCTCTGGCTGATGGTCACAGCAAAGGTTACTGAAGCTCTGACCTCAAGGTGCATATTCACTTTTCTCAAATGCAATATTGGATCTCATTAAATGCCCTCTCCTTTTGAACCCAGATGCTCTGTCCCTTTCGGGCCAACAAGCGAAATGATGATAAAACACTTTCTTTAAGTGAGTCTGTGCTTATTCCCCTTATCTTCCTGCTCTGAAGGGCTGTATTCCAGGAGCAAACCCCAGCAGAAGGGCTATTTGATAACCACAAAGCACAGTGCTACCTAGAAAGCAGACGGGCAGGTTCTCTACTGCTGGAAAGCGTCCTAGTTCCTGCCTTTAGCAGAGCTACGACTGCAGTTTGTACCTGACTTAGGTAGGAACCGAGTCAGGGTTAGGTCCTGGGCTGGGATATTTGGGATATTCCCCTCACTAGCAAAGGCTGGAGACTAAAATGTAGCAGCTTCCTAAGCCAGCAAGGCAGGGCCCCACCTGCAATGAAGTAAGAAAGGAAGTTGCATGGATGAAGTCACCCTATAGCAGGAGATGTGGCCTAAAATTCAGGTGTTCTGCCCTGCAGTTGCCAAACGATCATTAGCAAAGGAAGTTACACCACAGCTCGAAACAGCTCCTCACATTTGCAGCCCAGGAATCAGAGCTGAGGACGTGTACCAGCTCTGCCTGTTGCAACCATTGCACCTGCAGTGCGTGCCCTGATAAGGGCTCTGGTAAAACAGTGGAGCCAGGGCAAAGATAGTCCCAAAGCAAGCAGCTATGATGACATTCACTCCTGTGGGATGCATCGCCACCGCTGCTGAAAATAAATAACCCTACCATGAGAAATGAGGAGTGTTTGACTTGTATCCTGATAGCCCAAATCTGAGAATTATAATGTCAGCTATTTTCACTCAATAAACTTCTTTACATGGAATAATGCTTAGAAAATAAACTGTACATGCTACAAGCTCCCTTTATTTCCCATATAGATTGAAACACCTCTTCAAATGCCACTCTGGCACCTAAGTGAGACCAGTGTCCCAGCTCCATTTGGCTGTGATAAATCTTGTATTATTAAAAAATCCCTTTACTTTGCACATGGAGATAAGCTCAGTTCCCTCTTCTGTCCCATTTGGAAAGGTGGGAGCTGCACCTTCTGTACCATGAAAAATAACGTGCGTTCAAAACTATCATAGTGAAAGCAGAATGGAATCTATGAAGATCTTAACCAATCCATCTCAAGTTGATAGAAAAGAAATTCACTTCAGAGAATTCATTGATGAAAAGCAGATAAGAGAAGTACAGCTCTGCCCCCGTTGTCTTAAACCACAGGTACATTCTAAAAAGTGAGGGTATTTGGTGGCGTGAAACAACTCATGCATGGGTTGAAGTGGAACCACGTTGGTTGACACCACACCAAGGACCCCCTGATGTTGGAGGCGTCTGCAACAAAGGTGTTAACCTGAGGGTATCATCTTTATTTGCACAGAAATTGTTTGTTAAGCCAAATTAGCCAGAAAGGGGATTAAAACGCATTCTGCACCAAGAGCCGTCTTCTCACAATGCCTACGTGTAAAACAAGTCCGTGGAGGAAACGCACAAGGGCAGTTGTGAAAGAGTGAGCTCATCACCTAGGAGGACTCATTCCCAGAAGGCAGGGCTTTGAAACCATATAAAAGTTCTCAAATCTCTGTGCTCCACCATCCACTCCGCTTCGTGCCTCTCCCTGTTGACTGGTTGGGTAAGTCACAGAATACTGATATTTTTTTCCTGATGTCTATAATTTTATTGCTTGGGTTAACGCAGGCGGACTCTTTAAGTAGGGTTTTATTTGATGCCTCTGAATATGCAACAGATTCCTGCAAAGAAGAGGAGCTGTGGGCATTGAGGTAGGGCGAGCAGTCATGGAATGACTCTGCCAGGCAAATTCAGATTGGGTGCAAATCTGAGGACAGTTAAGTGCTATTAGAACCTTTCTGAATAGGAGATTAGATACGATTATGTTGGTTTAAGTATAACTGACCCTGCCATCAGGGAAGGAGGTGGTCTAAGTGGCCTCCTAAAGCTCCTTCCAAATCTATTTTCTATGATTCTGCTCTTTATAGCAATGAATATTTTTTAAACTTCAGTTTTATTGAAGAATTATTGTGTAAAAGGTGGATTAGTGAGTACGAGGGGCTGCACAGAGCAGAAGGGCGAAAGTCTTCCTGGTGTGCTGTGTCATTCATGCTAACCACGTCAAGAGCAATATATTAATTTGGCTGAAGATCTTATCAAGTCCTTATAGAGAAAATAGCAAGAGACAAGGGATGCTGACCTGGAGGACCCAGGAGGATGGGTTAGAGAGGAATGGATTTGCTTTGAAGATGTGCTGAGAGGAGCAGGCACCATGGGAAAGGGAGAATGAACTTGCACACCCTCACATAACCTGTGCTGGTGCTAGTCCTGCATGGAGGGGACTTACAAATGCCCCTTTCAACCAATGCATCTGCGATTCTAACCTTTCATTTGTGTCCTTAGAAAAAACAGCACCGTGGGATTTACCAGGCACAGCACCAGTCCAGCTGAGCCTGGTGCCTGCCCTCAGCAGCCCACAGTTTCAGGCAGTTTCATAAATCGTTAGGAAAACCCATTTATCTGTTATACATCACGGGCCTTGGGAGAAGAAATCCCTCCCGATTATTCTGATTCATGCACGCTGGCTGTATTATTAATGGCCATGATAATCCAGAAGTATAGGGACGCATCGCCACTGCTAATTCTTTCCAAGGCAGCTGGAAGGGCTGTGCCACAGGTAACAGTGAAGTGAGGTCAGAGGGAAACCAGGGCAAGAGGAGGAGTTGGCCACTTGTTGTAAAACCATTCATGCTACGGAAAGATCTCTACTGGTGAGGCTCCCCTTGAGGCCTTGGCACCTCAGGTTTCCAATTCCAAGTAAAATCTGAGCGGCAACATTTTAAAAAGGGCAAAATCAACTGAATTATTGCAGTTTTGTCAATGTAAAATATCCCCGTGGGCCCAGATTTTTCCACTTTTTGATACACCAAATGTTTTCAAATGTTTGTCTTCAGCATTCATTATGTTTTTATTATTGTTCTGACTTTCTGAAACCGCTATCAACCCAGCAGATCTGTGATTTGCCAGCTCCTCTCATCAATTCCCCAGGACACAAATGAAAGGGAGTTCATGTGTTGGGAAGAGCTCTGAAGTGTAAATCAGCTCCAGGTTCAAAAGAGTGGCTCTACCTCAGTTGGACCTGACAGGGTTGTCCCACATTGCATAACAGAAAGGGGGAACGAGATAAGACAGAGCCAAAGCAGGAGCTGAAAGGCAAAGATGAAAAAGAAAGAGCAAATCATAATTCTTTCTAAGCCAACCTGCCTTGGGAAGCCAAGGGCAAACTGAGAGAACTTTACTCTTGCAGCTGATGGATGTTTCTTGCAATCCTTTCACCCTTATCCCAGTGCAGTTCATTTAGCAGACACAATAACCCTCTGCCGTTTCTTTCAGACAGATTTGTTTGCTGCAGAGATGGCTTTGAACCAAACACAAATCAAGCAGGAAATCACCCTCCCACCCGGCCTGGGCAAAACCATTGCAAAGGAAAGCCAAGAGTCTGCACCCTGCGTTGACCCGGTCCCCTGCCCACAGCAGCAATCGGAAATCCAAGTCCCAGAACCTTGCCCAGAACCAGTCCCAATAGAAGTGGTACCATGCCAGGAAAAAACAGCCCCATTGCCAACACCGGTGGAGGAACCAGGCAAAGGAGAAACACCAGCGGTCGTGGTACCCAAGTGCCCACCCCAGGAGCAGCAGCAGCAGCAGCAATGCAAGCTACCACCAACTTTCCCACCTGTATCATGCCCTGAGCCTGTTTCATGCCCCGAAGAGAAATCAGCGTGCAAAGAGGTGCCTGTGCCAGCCCCTGAACAAACTCCCTGTGTGTCGGAGGAGCAGGAGTGCAAGGAGATCCCCGTGCCCGTTCCTGTTACCTGCCCTGAGCCTACACTGTGTGCTCAAGAGAAGCAGCAATGCAAGGAGATCCCTGTGCCAGTTCCTGTTGTATGTCCTGAGCCTGCACCATGTCCCCAGCAGAAGCAGGAGTGCAAGGAGATCCCTGTGCCCACCCCATGCCTTCCAGAGAAGCAGGAGTGCAAGGAGACTCCTGTGCCAATCCCCGTTCCCTGCCCTGACCCCACACCATGCGCCCAAGAGGAGCAGCAATGCAAGGAGATCCCTGTGCAGATCCCTGTGCCCTGCCCTGACCCACGTCCCCAGGAGAAGCAGGAGTGCAAGGAGACCCCTGTGCCCATCCCTGTTCCCAGCCCTGACCCCACACTGTGTCCCCAGGAGAAGCAGGAGTGCAAGGAGATCCCCGTGCCCACCCAATGCCCTCCAGAGAAGCAAGAGTGCAAGGAGATCCCCGTGCCCATCCCTGTTCCCCATCCTGAGCCAGAGCAGTGCTCCCTTCCCGAGAAGTGTCCTCCCATCGAGCAGCAGCAGGTCAAGCAGCCCAACCAGTGGCCACAGATGCAGAAGTAACTGAAGCAGCTGCAGAAGCCCTGAAGAGAGAAGAAGATTGCAAACCCAGTCCTCCTCTCCTCACATCTCACAACCAGAGGTCATTTCCCAACGCCCTTTATATTCACTGCAGAAGCAGCACAGCTCCCAGCTCCCCGCCCCCAGCTAACGCTCGCGTTACCCTGTACTAACACCCATCCGCCGACTGACGCGCCGGGACTGTCAATAGATAATAAGGCTTCAAGCGGTGTTGTAGGCAAATGCGTTCAGCTTCCCAGAGACCCGATTTTCTGCCCCCTCCCAATCATCCTGCTGGCTTTTAAAGGCTCAGAGTGAGACCCAAGAGCACGGTGGCATGCTCAAGTCAGGGTGCAGTAAGCTAAATATCCAAACCTAGCCTGAATGCAGTTTGGGACCCATGCATGCTGGTTTTCGTGCCTTCCTCCCCAGCTCCCTGTACACAAATGTCATCTCCCACCTTGCATTCAGGGGTTTTGCCTGTGAATGATAGGATTTGAGGTTTGTGCAGAACCTGCTGCTAAGGGGTTCTGGTCAAAGGCAGCAAGAATTTCTGAATCATGAATCCATAATGCTGAATATTGCAATTAAAAAATGCATTGGTCTAGAGGAAATAAAAACATTTTTACAAAAGAGCCATCACCTCTTAATGAGCTGCTTGGCTGAATTAGTAGCAATCAACACTTTCCTCACAGAGGATCCTCTAGGATGTGTAAAAGAACAGCTCAAGCTAAGATTATCCACGGAAATAAATATATAGATATTTAAATCCAACCTAGACATATTTTGAAACATACTCACCTTGGGCACAGCTTACATCTGTTAGACAGGATCAAGGAGGAAGCTGTCTACACGCACACACACGGTGCTGACTCCATCACACCCTGGAAACGTTTCGCCACGCAGCGTTGTACCGCATGTATTAGGTGCTTATCTCTGTTTTAGGCTGATATTGTATCAGGATTTATTTCACTGTGAAAAATCACCAATAAAAAGTACTTTGAATACCAAGTTGTGGAGATTTTCAAGAGCTTCTGCTTAAAAGAGACAAAAAGGAGCCTCAGCTTGCAGGAATCGATGGTTTTCTTTACTCACAGCTGCTGTGTCCTCCAGCAGACACCGGGCACGGGCACAGCTACAAGGCAGGTTGCAAGCACAAGCAACCGGCTTTTTCCCACACTTCAGTCAAGCCAGGAGCGATGCAATCTCCCCAGTTTGGCCCTGCACCCATCAGATGGGTGTCAGATACACCCACCCTTGCCGTCTGATCACAGGATCGCTCCGAGACGCCCAGCTCCTGGTTTGCAGAGCGAGGTGATGTCTGGCTGCCAGACACCCATATCCCATCACTCATCGGCTGCCGTGCTTATGGTAATTTTCCTCCTCTACTCCACACAGCTGACTGGAAACCAATTCACTGAGCCAGTAATTCCCACTGGGAACCCAAAACATTCTGCATCCCATTTCTGATTCGCTTAAAACCAAAACTACTCATTCGGAGCAAGCAAAAGCTTCCTTTCCATCTTAAAAAATTCCGACTATTTTCCTACCAGTAGTAATAGTATAGTTGAGACTCAAAAAAAATCACAATTAATTGCTTTGATAGACCCACAGAAATAGAGCCCAGGATATTACACCTCACAGAAAACTAAATTTATCTCAGTGCAGGATGAAAACAACTGCAAAGATTGCCCTGAAATGGGGAACACGTTGATCCTGAGCCAGTTTAGACACCCAGGGAGCAGCTCTGCCCCAGAGGACCCTGAATTTAAATAATCTTTCTGGAAATCATGATCATTTTATGTCCTGTTTCCTCTAGACAGTTTGATTTCTGGTCCAGTTGGTCATCATATTTATAGCCATAGGTTTTTAGGTCTATCTGAAATGAAAACATAGCAAATAAAGCTTTGGGAGTCTGGGAGGTGCCTGTGCATGCACCCCTGTGTATCTGTGCCTCGTATACAAGTGTTTAAAGGTGATTCTTCAGCTACTAAAAGAAAGCAAAGGAGAATGAATGATGCTAGTAAAGCGGAAAAAAAAATTAGGAAGCAAGTAATGAGGTTAATTTTAACTTTATTGTAGTGTGTCATGAATTAGAGAGCAGAAGAAAATGGCCCCATGACTTTTTTATAGCAGAGGATGAGTAAATCCAAGGTAATGACTTGCATCTCCTTGTAAAGTAATTTCTGCTTGCGAACAAGGGAGGCGTGCTGCAAAAGCGGCGCTGCTCTGGCAGAGCCAGCAGACGGGAGAGCTTGGAAATAAGCGTTTGCGTCTTCCGTGGCGCTTGGTGGCCGTCGCTGGTGCTGCTACTTCTGCTTTGGGCATTGCTGCTGCTGCTGCTGCTGGGGGATGCTCTTCACAGGACACTTGACTTGTCCTTTCGGGGCCTGGTATTGCTCCACACACTTTGGAGGACACTTCTCCTGGCACTTGGAAGGCATTTGCTGCTGCTGTTTCTGCTGGGAAGACATCTTTGCTAAGCCTGGAAGAGAACCAAGGTGCCGTTTTAGTTATTTTAAGCCCTACACAGTTCTCCTTTTTGGATATTTTAGTTGCGTTGGTGACTCCAGTTTGCTGTAGCTGCCCCACTTTGCTTTTCTGGGCTCCTGTCACTGTCTCTATGGGGTTCAGCCACTGTGCTGAGGCCTCAGGGCATAACTGTGCATAAGCACGAGTGAATATAAGAAGCAAGCACCATCCTAACAAAGCTGTGTTTTAAACAAGTAAACGGCCACAGAAGTCAGGGGCAGGATGGGAGAGAAAAAGTGAGAATGGTTTTCCTTCTTTGCCTCTGCTCACTGTTTTCTGAACATTGCAGCTCTTGCAAACGACACAAGTGTTAACAAAAGCATGTTTAGTTAAAGGAGAAGCTCAGGGCAGCATTTAAAACTCAGAGAGGAGCTGCCAGCCAGTGACATTTCAGCATTGCAAGTGGTTTTGAGAGAGCAAACCATTTGATAACAACCCCTTCTAGCAACAGCCACGTCCCTGCTTAGTTCATCAAGAGCCTCAGAACAGGAGCTGCATCTCTGGCTGCCAGCGCAGTTGAACTGCCCTCCTGCTCAGTGATGATGGGGTTTTATATAAAGAAGAGAAACTCAGCACCCTGGAGAGCCAGGAGGCTGCGGTGATCAGCCCACAGCTGCCCGACAGATGCCAAACAAGATGCTGGTAGATGCCATCCTTTGGTGACTGATCCCAATACCCAGTGGTTATCCACAAGGATTCTTATCAGTTGGAAAAATTTATGAGGATGGCAAAGATTTACTAGTTCAAAGAGACGGCAAGCCGCTGTTCGGAGCCTCAGAGAGTCTCAAAATAACATGATATGGGGTTCACCCATATGGAGGTGAAATTTCTAGGGACATGGGCTGAAACTATTACTACAAACACAAACTGAAGAAAAATCAGCCTATCTTCCCAGAACCGAGCACCAAAAACCCCTCCTATAAAGCAAAACAGGCATAGAGGGACTTACCTTGTGTCTCCTGCTGCTGGAGAAGGGAAGGAGAAGCCACTCAGGATACAGAGCCTCCCGAATGGGAGCCTTTTATACGCTTTGAGAAGTCAGCCCCGGGAGCTGATGACAACAGATTAACTTGATGACCAGAATCTTTCACAACCAGAACCTGCTCCACTGACACCTCCATACACCTGGACTTCAGTCAAGCTCTGTGAGAGATGCCTCCTCTTTCAGGTGCGGGGGATTTGTTGTTTTTTTAATGCCAGGCACACCCAATCTGGTAATAACTGGCTAATTTATTAATAATTCATCTTGTCCCGACGCTGGGCAAAGATCCCACAAATGAGGTCTGAGTAGAGAGATGGCTCAGATCCACTCCAGAGCAGAAGGTGTTTGCATAAAGTTTAGGTGTTTCCTGATTTGTCTGCGATCACCAGGACGGATCCCAGCTGGCACAGATTTGGGTGGGTGGGGGCGATCTGTGTGCTGCATCCTGGCTCCTGGGAAGGGCAGCAGGTCTGGGATTGGCAGCCTGGGTTTTTGGTTTTTGCTTTGGTCCTTCTCTAGTTTCCTTCCCCCAAAGGGGAACGAAACATTTTCTATTATCAAGAAATAAGAAAGCTTTCCCCTTATTTTTTTTTGCTTGTACTTTCAAGTAGTTTTTCACCGAAGCAACTAAAACTTCTTATTTTACAAGCTTGGCTTGCTGAAGTTGTGGCCAAATTTCTCTTTTCTGAGGATGGATCCCTGCTTCAGAAAAAGGTTGATCCCCTTGAAATTTTTCCAAAGAAGGAACAGAGAAAATGTTTTAACTGAAACCTCGTCTTTAGCTCTAATGGAAAAGGTATCTCAAGCCTCCCTTGGGTTTTCCTCAATGCTGTGCCCTGTGGGGTCACATTCAGCCCCGTGAATTACAGCCCCATCTCCATTACAGATGTGTGACACACAGAGATGATGGACGTGGCTTCCATGGGTGCAGAAGAGCAGGAGATGCTGATGGAAAAACCATCATCCCATATCAACATCCCTCACTCATTCCTGATTTACCATGGGTCCTAATGGCCCCGAGGTTTATAGGGACCAAACGTCTCTAATTTGTTGGAAATATACAGGATAATCTTAGGAATGCTCAGAACCAACCACGGGTGCATAGGAGAGCGATGCGTCAGGGTTTTTGCAAGACCTTTTCCTACAGGTGCAGGAAGCGCGATGAGCACAGCGCAACAGGTCCCTTCCACCACTTCCTCCGTGGTTTCCAGAGCCGCGCGCTCCCACCTGTGATTACTGCTCCTGGTGCAACACTCGTGCAGAAAGGGAGGGAAGAGAGGAGCTTTTGAATGGCTGAGGGAGCTGGATGAAGGTGCTTGGAGATCAGTCAGAGGTGACTAACCGATGGGCTGGATCTCGTCAGTACCTGCATATGACCTCCTGACTAAGACTTTTTCCATGCCTGAAAGCGGGCACTGACGCTGCACGTGTGGCAGCAGCAAGCACTTATTAGTGAGGTTACTGATGGCACAGTTCACTGCTGAATTCCCCAAAGGTTTGCGCTCCACAGTAGGAATTAGAGGTGCACATTCCTGGTCTCCCCCTTCATTTTCATGCCGTTGAATGTCTGCTCCACCTACCCCTGCTTTGTCCGTCTGAACTGAAAGGCGTGTTCAGGAGTAGAATTTGTTTGCCTTCCTGAGACGTGTTTTGCCTATCATTATTCCTGTTTGATGGTGTCACCTTTTGGTGTTGACAGAAATAACACAAAAAGGAATCCGCCATCAAACTCTTTACACCTGCACGTAAGGTTTCATTAAAAGCTGATTTGGTAACAGTGTTTACACGCACCTAAATATAACTCTTTTCTTTTCCAGATTAGATGTCCTCCACCCTTGCCATAATGATAAGGTAGGTGGATAGCAATTCTCTACATCCCAGACATGGAAATTGTGTGGCTGTGATGTAGACAGAGGTAAACGAGTCACATGGAAGACAATGGGAGCCTTGTGTCTGAAAATCAATGGGAAATGGGGATAACAATGAGCCTCCTTTGGCTTCAAAATTACAACTCCAAATAAAGATGATGTATTTAGAAGTGAATTAAAATATTATTGTAGCAGCCAGATGTTAATGAGCCTGAGATGCCAACCGCTCTATCACTCAGGATATGACTTCTCCTTGTAGCAAACGGGGAACAGGTAGGTAACAAGAATGAGACCTGTCCAAAGCCACACGAAGTGTCTGCAGCAAACCTGGCAACAAAACTGCAGTCTTGCAGGGCTTCAACCTGTTCCTGAACCACAAAAAGATTCGTCTCCTGAAGCAAAATCCCCTACTTTCTGTCTTTAGTCAGTGAGGGTCATGGGAAGGATTCATCACAAACAGCATTATTGTCTCCATCACGATGTTGTTAAGAAATAATTAAAATCCCAGCAAGAACTTCTCGGTGCTTTCTGTCTTGAATTGAATCTGTCTCCACAACCAGAGCAGCTTTTAGATGGAAAACTGCAGGAAGATGTTCTTGGGTCCAAAGACACGGAAACGGGGAGATGAAAGAAAGACAAATGACACATTATGCCATTGATGGTCAATTTTTATTGCTGCACATAGACTTTAAAAGATGAGAATTAAAGAAGAGGAGACATTTTCCAATGTCAACTGCTTACAGCACAGCCATTGCAAAATCATTTCCCAAGGTGCCCAGCAGTACAACATCAGCCAACTGCAGGTACCAAGAGAAAGGTGCTGAGAGAGCAGTAATAGAAGGAAGCAAAAATACAGGCTGGAAAAGCTCAGAGAAGAGTTTTCCAAGACAAAGAGAGAGAGCACAGTGTAAGCAAGTCAGGAGTGGTCTTGGTACGTCGCCGGTGGGTCTGTAACCTTTGTTTCATTCCGTGGATGCCCATGGATGTTGCAATGCACCGAAGCATCAAGGCTCATGCATTAGAGGCGCTCAGCACCGGCGAGAGCACACGGTCTCGCACTTTTCAACGCACTTCTTGGCGCACACCTCCACGCAGGGGGCTTGGCAGGGCTGCACGCGCTGGGCGCACTGGGTTTGGCACGGAGTGGCACACGGCTTTATGCAGGCGTCAATGCAGACAGGGGGACAGACCTCCACGCACTGGGTGCTGCAGGGCTCCACGCACTGGGTGGTGCACTGGGTGACACAAGGATCCACGCACTGGGTGACACAAGGATCCACACACTGGGTGGTGCAGGTGGTGGTGCACTGGGTGGCGCAGGGCGTGGGGCAGACCTCCACGCACGGCTCCACGCACACCCTCTTGCAGGTCTCCACGCACACCGGGTTGCAGGGGTCTACGCACACCGGCTTGCAGGTCTCCACGCACACCGTCTCGCAGGGCTCCACGCACTTGGTGCACTGCTGCACGCAAACGGGAGGGGCCACGCAGGGCTGCTTGCGCTGCTCGTAGCAAGACATCCTGAGGTTGTGGTCAAGCTGGAGGCAAAGATAACGAGAGACACAAAATCAGGGCACTCGTCCTTTCCTCCTAAGCCACGGTTCACAACCTGAGCTCTTGAAACAACTATAGAAGTTGGCTGTTAGACTGAGAAAAGGACTGTTAGTCAAAAATTACACGTGTGAACGATTTCTGGATTGAGACGTATACAACTAACACTGCCAGATTATGCCTTCCTTGCTTGGGAACCTGCAAGCACCTCTACTAGGAAGACCAGAGCCATAAAACTTGAGTTTTATAGAATTGCACACAGTTAAACTTTGTAGAAGCCGTAACATGGAAATAGTTCACTTCCTTATTTCCTTAATTAAATCAGCAGATGCTCCAGGCCCAACTTTTGCCCGTCACTTCTTCAGTTCCCCCTTTGCATAGATGTTGAGCTGGTAATCCCTGAGGATAAAGTGCAAAGACCACGAATTAAGACTCTATCCCAGCCGTGTATCGTGGTACTTCACTGGAGCTGGATCAGAATTAACTGGCTCACCCTTTCGTAGGCGAAGGGCTGGCCCAGAGCTTGCAGCTCCTGTTTCCGATTCATTTTCTGCAGCTTTGCCCTCAGCTATTCTGCAGAAAATTCTTCTTCCCACCCACCTCTTTTGAAGTCCCAAGACTTACTCTGCAGCATCCATTAATTTATTTAATTTCCAGACTTAATGAGGTATGAAAAAATTAGTGAAGCTAGAATACGAAGGAGGATGAGAGACAGTCACAGTTTCCGAAGAGGTGACAGGACATTTGCAAGCTACTTAAGGAAAAGCAAACTCTAAATAAGAGTTAGAAGCCTTCTCTCCCATTCCAGGACAAATCCTAGAAGAGAAACACCAGAAGCAAAGCTCTCGTGTCACCAGTAATATATCATTTTGACCAGAACAAGTAATAAAGCCATCGCGTTATTCCCTGATAAATCCAAGGAAGACTTACCGGTCCACCAATGTAGTCGAGTGAGTGAGAAGTCAAATGCACTTGTGTGAGCATCAAAATGCGAGCCTTTTTATATGGCTAGCATGGCGTCATCTCCGGAAACAAGGGAGCCCAGGGATATGGAGACCTGACCACTAACTACCTGTAGAGGCTCCACCTATACATGCTTTACGTGTTTGTTTATATCTAATTTTTGGTGGAAATCCTCTTCCAGGAAAACATGTGATCCTGAGCAAATTCGGCTTCCACTTAATACACACGTCATGCGGTTCCCAATGGGAATGGTGCAGTAATTAAACCGAAATCAGGCACTGGATTAATTGCTTTTCAAAAAAAAAAAAGGTTTAATACGTGTGGAGATGTTCATCTCCTTATTTCCATAAATGTCTGAATGATACCTTTGGGTTTTTCGGGTGCAATAAGAATGGATAGCTGTCATTAGGGAAGATGGGCACTTGATTTGATTTACTGTGAGAAATACCACGTCCTAATTCTCATGGTAAGAAACAGCTGATCCTACTGTGGGCCATCATCACTTCCACAAACTACTGAGGTATCTTTTACTCCTTTTAACCCATTAAATGCACCCAACCCCTTCCTCTCCATCCTCTATTGATAATATTCACACTTGGCAATGCCAATGGCAACACAACTCAGTTTCTCAGTTACTTTGAGGACGTCTTTGAGCCATTCAGGGCAAAGGAAAGGAGCATTTTGAAGGCATTTTTCAGTGCCAGAGCAGTGAGATCTGGAGCTCCACTGGAGATTTACAGGGATCAGCACTGGTTCCTGTGTAAAGTTTACATGAGGAAACTGGAATTCCGGTCCCAGTCCCATAAGCTGACAGATTTGCAGTGCTCGTTACATCCTCCCAGCATCTCCTCATGGTTCATTTGGTTTTTCCACTCCTTTTCCCTCACGGCACAAACTGAGTGCATCATGTCCAGTTTTTCCCCACTGCTTTACTGGTGGCTTTTATGGATGACAGGAAGAAGTAGGGACTTGTGCAGCATATTTTGCTTGTGTTAAACTTCTGCTTTGGGGTGAGTAGAAACACCCACGACTGCACCAAAAAGACCTTGCAGGTCGTAAAATGAAGACAGAGCAAATAGCTCAGATTGAGGTATGTGATATTAATTTTGACGGGTTAATCTCTCCCCATCTTCTCCTCCCAGAGCTAACCCCGCTGAGTGATGCTGAGCAAGCAAATGACCTCCAGTACTTTTAGGTCCACTCACAGAAGGAGCCTCCAACACTTATCTTGCTAAGGAGTTCCTCATAGTCCGGTTTGTACGGTTCTTCACGCTTCTCTAGGGCTCCGGGCTCATCTCTGAAACCAACACTTAGGACTGGTTCAACGTCTCCCTTTCTATAGTGGGTTATTGTACACCCTATTGTTATATTTTATTAGCGAGAAACTGTAACGACTTCTGAAAGAGATGGACATTTTAGGAAATATAAGTTGATCTCTGTTGGTAATATGCGGGCACGTAAGAGGTCTGGATGATTATTCTTAATTGACGCTTATTTGTGGATCTCTGTTATATTTATGAGCAATTTGGTCATTTGACCTGTCCCATTAACCTCTGTGAGTCAGGACCCCACAGCAAAACCCTTTCCTGGCCAATGTCCTTTGGCAAAGAGCTGGAAAGATGTGGTTTTCCCCCAGATCTGACCATTTTGGGATCTATTTAATTAAACACACCATATTCTGGTTCTCAGGAGAATATTTCTGAAGAGTTCAGTATAAAAAGAACATGGTCAACACTTTTGGATCCAAATAACCCAAGAGAGGTTTTGTGCTTCATCACCAAGAGCTGTCAAAGACGGAGGCACATCAGAATTGAAGCCATTTCCTATAGCTGTAAAAATTTTGCCTGCAGACGTGGAACATCACACAGTCATGGAGATGTGATTGTTAACAAAAACAGAGAAATTCAAGATGTGCAGAAGCCATGAATTTTGATGGAAACATCCCCAACCGAAGTTTTTCCCCATGTAACCATTTAGATACGCACAATTTTGGGGCGTTCAACTGGATTTCTGCTGGTTTTCATCAACTGCTCGACATAAAGTGTTCAACTTTGCTTTAAACATACGACCCCTTGGGATTTCTTTGCATCCCTTGGTTTACCTAAAAGCCTCCTAAATAAGTTTTCTTCCTCTTTGGCATCCAGCACCAGGGATTTCATTTTGCTTATGTGCAGCACCCATATTGTACACTACCCCATGTAGATGAGCAAAGCCTTTTCATTTAAATTAAGGATTTTCCCTCTATTCTCAGCATGCCAAGGCCTTCCCAGCCCACTCCCCTGCACATTGTTGTAATTAAATCTTCAATTCTGAGGCTTCATTACAGCCGACTTTCCCCTCGTGTCATCCCCTACCACAATGACCTGCGGGATCCAGCACCCAGGGCAGCTTCAGGAGGGGTTTTGGTATCAGGTTCCTGCTCCATCTCCGGTTTTGGAAATCATCGCATAGCTGAGATGCCAGGAGGTTGAGTGTGGGATGCAATTAGCCTCACATGGAAGCAATTGCCTTGTCTAGTCTGTGCCCCAGGGACTATTTGATCAAGTAATTAGATCATTACTTCTGGGGCCCAGAAGAACCCAAATACGGGCGCTATCCCACCTCTTTTCCTGTTTACTCAGAAAGGTGAGTGCTCCATGAAGAATGATAAGTGATCATCTGAGTGCAATTAAATCTGCAAAAGAGGAACTAGCTGTGGTTATTTAAAAAAAAAAACCCAAGTCATCTGTTTTATCTTTTGCCTTTTTGCAGTTATTTGCTTTGCTTTCCCCATATTTTAGAATGGGAATCTAGCTTTCCTTAGGATTTTTCACATTACTGAATAAAAGCATGTCCTGATCTCTGAGGGGTACTTTGCAGGGCTCAGAACACATTGCCTGACAGAGTAAGAGCTGTGGGCCTGCTGTGTTTGTCATGCCAAATAGCAATTTTCTCCCAAATTGTTAGAACAGTTCCACAGCAATAGCACAAACATTAAGGTGTTCAGGGAGGAAGTTTCTCTTCCTAAGGCACAAACTTGGGATGTTCACCTGGAAATGAAGTTGTCTGCTCTCTGCTAATGGCCTTTTAAAAATCTGAGTTTCCACGGTCGTATTAGGAGGATTCAAGATGAACCACACCATCAGAGGGATGCTACAGAGAAACAGTTTAAGGAAAAAACCTTACCTGAATGCCATTTTTTCCATCTACAGTTTCCTATTTCCCAGAAGATTGATCTGTTTGACTTGGGACCAGAAGCAAAAGAAGTCATTGCTTGCACAGAACATTTTAGTGACTTTTAAAGGAGTTTTGGAGCCAAATGAGACCTCCACAGAGCGGGAATTAGGAAGCCCGGATAGGTTTGGTATTTCTATTGTGTTGCATTTGTGCTTAGGCAATGCCTGCAGCAGTAACCGAAGTCCAGACACCCACCACAGCCAGGGCTGCACAACCAGCAGCGAGAGCCAAGCTGAGGAGGACAGAGACGGAAGGGTTGTGAGGGAGGAGTGATTTGTGCAAGGCCAGACCTCCCCAACCCACATGCGATGCCACATCCATCGGGTGCGATTTATCACACCCCATTATCGGTCAGACTCCTTTACCAGGAGCAGCCAGACAGCGATAATTGCAGGTTCGTCACCGACCGCGTACCCTGAGGCATCTTTGAAGGACCTGGAGGTGGGTGCTTGCAGACAGAGCTGTACCCAGGTCGGTTGGTGTCCCTCGCTGCCCTGTCCCTCCTCCCTTCGGCACCACCTCTGCTCTGGAAACCTGCAGAGCGCAACCCTAGGCACAAGTGACAGCGTGGCTTTGAGTCCCCAAGGACGTTGTTCACTCCTAAGCGAGCGATTTGCAAGCAAATCTGGTGCTAAGGAGGAAGCACTGGGATCCTCTTAGCAGGTGTCCACGGAGAGATTTGCAAGCAAATCTGGTGCTAAGGAGGAAAGCACTGGGATCCTCTTTGCAGGTGTCCACGGAGGGTTACCAAAATTGTCCAACACACCTTGCTAATGCTAATAACATTTCTGCAGGATCCAGTGGTGTGCAAATCCACGTCGGTCTCCCCAGCTGACGGGGCTTGCCCAATCACCGCCAGAGATAAGGAAATAGAAGTCGATTGCAAAAGACTGAGATAGGACCCACACAGGTGACAAAGCCATGAGGCACAAACAGCCTCCCAGCCCTGCTCCTCTTCCCCTCATTAGCTGTTGATTTATCCATGGCTCAGAAGGGAACATTTTTGTTTCTGTCTGTGGGAGCTGGCCCTGAGCTCCTCCAGCAGATGGTCGAGTTTTCAAAGGATTTTGAAAACCATGGCAGCACGGTGCTTCCTCGTGATCCACAGCATCCCCTCTCCCAGTAATGACCTGGGATATCCCAGATGAGTCCCATGTCCCTGGCCATTGCCTTAGACCTTCCCATGCACTCTAGCAGGAGCTGCCACTCTGTCCGATCAGGCTTTCCAGAAGAAATTAGGAGGATTTGTGAGTCTGGGGGAACACGAAAGTGAAGGAAACACTTGCAGACACCTGATGCCAAGATATATTTGTTTTTATTGCTTCATAAAAGGAAAGGAGAAGACGGCACGAAAGAACAAACGGGGAAATTCCTCCGTCCACATCAGTGCCCATAAGAATTACAGGATCTCTCTCCCAGGCACTATTCCTGGGGGCACAAAATCAGCGAGTTACGTGTTACAAGGAAGTGCTTTGTACTTGACGTAAATGTAGTAAAATGATGCAGAATGTAAGGAAAACCATTTGAGGATTTACTCTTCCTAGGACAGGAAGGGCACTAGGAAATCAAAGATGAAAGGAAGATGCTGGCAGGCTTAGGGATCTGAAAACCATTTTAGTTTCTTAGCTTTTGGGGACTCCACAGGCCAATGGCTCTGCAGAGGGGGGGATCCCTTGGAGCCCCCACACGCAGCCCCTCAACGAGCACTCTTACGACAGCGGACGTCTGCGCAGGTGATGGCATAGTGCCGGCCACACGTGCAGGTGCAGACACCGATGCACGGGGAGGTGGCTCCTGTAACGCAGGTGGTGGGACAGGAATCCACACACTTGGTCACAGCCTGGACACGCTCACAGCAGGGATCCACACATGTGGTGGCACACTTGGTCACTCCTTGGCAGCAGGGATCCACACAGGTGGTGGTGCATTCGGTCACCCCTTGGCAGCAGGGATCACATACGGTGGCACACTTGGTCACGTCCTGGCAGCAGGGATCACACACGGTGGTGCACTTGGTCACTCTCTGGCAGCAGGGATCACACACGGTGGCACACTTGGTCACTCCCTGGCAGCAGGGATCACACACGGTGGTGCACTTGGTCACTCTCTGGCAGCAGGGATCACACACGGTGGCACACTTGGTCACTCCCTGGCAGCAGGGATCACACACGGTGGTGCACTTGGTCACTCTCTGGCAGCAGGGATCACACACGGTGGCACACTTGGTCACTCCCTGGCAGCAGGGATCACACACGGTGGTGCACTTGGTCACTCTGTCCTGGCAGCTGGGAGGGCGGCACGCATGTGGTGCCACACTTGGTCACGTCCTGACAGCAGGGATCCACACACGTGGTGACACACTTGGTCACCCCTTGGCGGCAGGGATCACAGGTGGTGGTGCACTCAGTCACATCCTGGCAGCAGGGATCCACACACGTCGTGACGCACTTGGTCACATCCTGGCAGCAGGGATCGCATGTAGTGGTGATGCATTTAGTCACGTCCTGGCAGCAGGGATCACACACAGTGGTGCATTTGGTCACACCCTGGCAGCAGGGATCCACACACGTTGTGGTGCACT